CACAGGTGTACTCTGGAGCAGTGCAAACATCCACTGCTCACCCAGTAAATAAATAAATGTAATAATGGAAAAATGCAATGTTAAACCACTTTCCATTCTCATCAGTTTCAATCAATAAGCAGGTGGATGTGGAGGAAGAAGGCAGTGCATGACTGTGGCTAGGGCTACAGGAAACTTACCCCATACACCTTAACTAGTTTTCATAAGACTGCAACAATCAGAAGCATGTTTAGCTTATGACAGTGCAAGTAAACTCTAACAAGGGCAGCATAAAGATAGTTGATGAAAACCTTTGTTCTGGAATGGGCATGATATCATAAATATTTATGACATATATTTTAGAAATATTTACAAAATAAGATTTTATGTGACTGTGAAAGTATTACTCAAATTTAATGTTTTTAATGAGGGCTGGAGAGATGGCTCAGCGGTTAAGAGCACTGACTGCTTTGCCAGAGGTCCTGAGTACAATTCCCAGCAACCACATGGTAGCTCACAACCATCTGTAAAAGGGTCCAATGTATTTTTCTAGTGTATGTCTGAAGACAGCTGCAGTGTACTCATATACATAAAAATAAGTCTTTAATGTTTTTATGAAAAAAATCATGTTAAGTTATCCAAATATGGGGCTAGAGAGATGGCTCAGCAGTTAAGAGCACTAACTGCTCTTCCAAAGGTCCTGAGTTCAATTTCCAGCAACTACATTATGGCTCACAACCATCAGTAATGGGATCTGATGCCCTCTTCTGGTGTGTCTCAAAAGAGTGACAATGTACTCATATACATAAAATAAATAAATAAATAAATAAATCTTTTTTTAACAAGTTATCCAAATACTTAGGTTATACACTTACTAAAAAATCAAGAAAACTGCTGGGCAGTGGTGGAGTACATCTTTAAGTCCAGCACTTGGGAGGCAGAGGCAGGTAGGTCTCTGAGTTTGAAGCCAACTTGGTCTACAGAGGGAGTTCCAGGACAGCAAGGGCTACACAGAGAAACTCGGAATGAAACAAACAATCAAGAAAAAGAATCAAGAAAGTCAGACCTGATACTGCTTTGGTGTTATCTAATCCAAATCATTCGATATGTGAAGAAGAAGAGACTCTGATGACAGTGGCATCTAATGTACCATCACTTTCATTTGGGAGAGTCCACAGGGACTCACAGCAATGATTCTAAATTGGTGTCTTAGTAACAGAACACTGGTGGAGGGCTGTTGTTGACTACCCTGGTGGTTTAATGAGAATGTCTCCCACAGGGGCAGCTGTTTGTACTTGGTCCCCAGTGTCTGGTGCTTTTTGTGTAGAGCTTGAAGCTGTGGAAGGATGAAGTATCTCACTGGAGGATTCAAAGGGAAATGTTATCCCTTCCAGTCCTGTATTTTCTCTGCTCCTGCTTAGAGCTCAGGAGCCAGTCTGCTTTGTGCCTCAGGTTCCATGTTTGCTGTTCCCCTCATGACAGTCTCTTAGCCCTCTGGAATCCTAAGTCCAAATAAACTCTTTCTCCTATACTTTGGTCACAGTGTTTTATCACAGCAATAGAAAAGGAACTAAGCCAACCACATTGTCAGAGCTCTTTTGTGTCTGACAGTCTCAATCATATTCTTAGCTATTTTAGGGGCTGCATGGTGTAAGAAAGTTAGTGGTGATTGACAACTTGTTAGGATCTGGAATGTCCTATGGGACAAGCCTCCAGGCACACTTGTGAGGGACTATCTCGATTAGGTCAAAGACATTCGATGACCCCTTATTTTTTGTTCTTATTTTGTTTTTGTTGTTTTGAGACATGTTTTCTCTGTGTAGCCTTACCTATCCTGGAATTCACTCTGTAGACCAGGGTGTTCTTGAATTCAGGAGTCACCTGTCTCTCCAGTGTTGGGATTAAAGGCATTTAATTCAGGGCTAAACACTTCTTTAAATTTCTTGTGTCAGAGTATTTGCTCATAGTGACAGAAAAAGTAACCAAGATAAATGATACCTCGTGTTGTAACTTTAATTGTTTCAATGCCTATTCTTAATGATGGTCTTTAAACACTTTAACCTCCCTTTTAGCCCACCACCCAACAGAGGCAGTGGAAAAGAAAAGATACAGGGGAAGTGGGCAGGTTTAGAGATGGTTCTTTGGAGCAAATCCCATCTGCATTGTCAGGAAATCAGCAGTTTAGTTCACAGTTCACAGCTCGATCCACTGGAAAACACTTCACGGATATACCAGCAATCCAGTTCCGTAGTGTCAGGATAGCAGCAGCAGTGGCAAGACCTAGGAGGAACAGCCAGGCCTCAGTCAAACCAGCAGGAGTCAGCAGGAGGGACCAGGGCCAACAGTAAAGCCAGGATAAGTTCTTGGCTGTGCCTTTCTCAGTGAAGGGAAGATCAGCGCAGATGTGAGACCAACAAGCATTTAGCTATGCAAGCAAGCCACACACAGCCTTGGACACTGTCCATTAAGTCCTATTTAATCTCCCTCCAAACATCATGTGTCCTCCATGGTTCTTACCTCAGCATGAGAGTCTGTCTCAGCAGACAGCATTCTGCCAATTGGCCGGAAAACATACCTTCACATGTGCTTTAGCAGAACACCATCCAACACAACTGACTTTGCAAAGAAGCCTTAAGTTTCTACTTCATCATGGTGTTTTACTCACATATTATTTTTAATTCTGTGTATATGTGTATAGGGGGTGTGTTCACAGGAATGCAAGTGCCCACAAAGACAAGAAGAGCATTGGAACTCCAGGAATTGGAGCTGTGGGCAGTGGTGAGTTGTGTGGTGTGGGTACCAGGAACCCAAATCCTTTATCCGGTTGTTGAAGTTTTGAGTATTTTTAATTGATTTATTTTCATTTTTATATGTTCCTTCTTAAGTTAAACCTTTTTGTAATAATTGCATAATTTTGTAATAATTGTAATAATTCTCATGCAGTTTTCACAATTAGAGGAAATAGAAGAAACTATACACATAACCCCATATCCATGTTACTGTGTTTCCCCCATAGGAGCATCCTGGAAACAAGTATAACATTACAAGAAATTGAGATGCATATATGTAAGGTGTTTAACAGGTCAACAAATGTCCCGACCCCCTGACCCCATCTATGGCCTTTTATTATTTTTTTTTTGAGACAGGGTTTCATCATATAACTCTGGCTAACCTGGAATTTACTAAAAGTAAATCAGGCTAGCTTTGAATTCACCTGCCTGAGATAAAAGTGCTGAGATAAATGGTTTGTGCCACCTGCATGCTCACCTACTAACACACTGATGAGACAGTGGCTTAACAGTGATTGTCTCTGTGCGTGTGCATGTGTGTGTGTGTGTGTATGTTATGAGGAATAGCTAAACTCTGTGTTACAACTTTGGAATGTTTGATCTCTCTTTCCAGAACTGGATTATCCTGTCAACTGCAGCAGGAAAACAGAATTAATTATTGCAAACTATGTCAAAAGTAACTAGGAAGATATTGTTTCTAGAACTTGGAAGCAGATATCCTCAGAGAGTATCTCTTCCATTTTCTGGATAGAATTATGGTTTTACTGAGGAATAACATTTCCTGAGAGTGCGATTCCTTGTATTTTCTTACAGATCTTCAATACTCAGGCTTTTGAGACAGAACGTGAATTAGAAACATGCACAGCAGTGGAGTGTCACCAGGCTGAGCTCATTTGGTGGTATATAGCTGCCAGCAAGTACACCAACACCTGCGTCCCTCTGAACCCTAATGAAGCTTACAAAGAAAAAAGACATGAAAGTAGATGTGGCTAATTGGGAAGAGGAAGGAGACTAAGTGGCATGTGAGGAGGACGGGAGGGAGGAGGGTGACCAGGATTGAAGCACAGGATGTGCTTGTATGGAAAGGTCATCATGAACTCATCACTAGGTATAACTAGTATGTCCCAATAAAACTTTTTTAAGTTTGTGCATAAAAAGTACATTCTCTTTAGACCTTTAGCTTATAAAAATTAGTTTGTTTATCCTGATGATAGCCTCGTCTATCTTTCACTCATCCCCAATAATAAAATATTTTCAAGAGTATATAATGGAATTGACAAGGAGGTTTTCAAGAGCCGCTAATAATATTTTTAAAATGTTTGTATTATGTTTTAAATTTTTATTTTATGTGCTTTGGTGTTTTGCCTGCATGTTTGGGGGTGTTGGATTCCCTAGGAGTGGAGTTGCAGACAGTTGCAAGTTACCATGTGGGTACTGGGAGTTGAACCTGGGACCTCTGGAAGAACAGCCAGTGCTCTTAACTGCTGAGCCATCTCCTAAACCACCACCACTAATATTTTAAGAGTTAAAAGAGAAGAATTTGCATTTTTATTATGCCTTCTGGCACACATTTGTCTCACCAGGTCACCAGACAGGTCCCTGTATTCTGTTTGTAGTATCTGACTTGCACATTGTTTTCAGTATGGAAGGTCAAAGTTGAGATTTGCCACAGCAAGAAGTGGGCCCAGCCAGTTGTAGAGGGTCAGTGTGAGTGACTCTGTTAGGAAAATGGCCATTGCTTTTGCTCTTCCCTTCTGATCAGGTGGGAAAGAACATATTCTTCTGCTAGGTAAAGCTCAGAAGCTGCTATCCTCCCCCTGAAGGCACACACAGGTACACAGAGACCTGGGAACAGCCACAGGTCAGGGTTTGCTGGCTGACTTTCCCCTGCCATAACCTATGTTGCTTTGACAGTAGTTAGACATAAGCTGCAATGAACCTAATGGCCTTTTCTTCAAAGGCTCCCCTTTCCCAGAATGAAGCATGCCTGCTTTATAATGCTTTGATCCTTCAAGGCAATCCTTGGCCTACTCACCATGATGAATTTTACTTCACGAGTCTTTTACCAGAATTTGTCTCTGCCATAACTTTATATCACAGACCAGGAAAGTGACACTGGAGTGAATTCACAGAGCCACTGATCTACACAAGGTAGACATGGGCCATTTACCCTTAGGTTTCAGTGTTTCCCGCGTTATTGTGAAAGTCATAAGTTACGTTTTTTAAATCACCATGGCGTCAGAGGGAGCTCTTCCAACTGCACTCAATAGATCTAGGAGTATTCCTTTCCCCGTAAGTCCCGTTAGACAAAGACTAGGTGATAAACGTTTTTTATACATGCAAATGTCCATTAGCAAGTACATCCAAATGCTGTTTGAATAATGGTCTCTGTGTGTAAAACTTGATCCCTACTAAATTTGTATAGGGGATCTTGATTTTCTGCCTGGTGGTTTAAATGAGTTTTCTGCACTCTGTTGCTTTTGGCTGTAGATCATGAATGCCATTATCATTGCCTCCTGACGGGACCCAGTCCTAGGAACAGCAAGGCATGCTTGCCACTGACATAAAAATCCTATGGTTCAAGACCCCTGGGTTGAAAAGCCAGCCTTGTTTCTGGTTTCAGCAAGTGCATCTCTCTTGCTTCTGACCATGAAATGTTACCTCTGGGGTCTTGTTAGATGGAATCCTGTCATCTCACTGGTACCCAGGGATCCCCGCTTCTTAGTAACACTCTTGTCCTCACTTGAAGACACTTTAGAATACAGAACCCTCTCAAGGATGCTCCACTCACATTAAGAGTGCATTCCAAGGGCGTGTGGAGGTGCACACCTTTAATCTCAGCACTCGAGAGGCAGAGGCAGGCTTGGACTACACAGCAAGTTTCAAGATAACCCAAGATACACAGAGAAACTCTGTCTCAAATACTAAAAGTAAAAAAGTAAATAAATAAACAAATGTAAAACTCAACAGATGTGTGAACACTACATGAGGATATGGAAAGAGAATCCTGGTTTCCTTCTCGTTACAGTGACATCGATTCCCTCTGAATCTAGGTAGGATCACATTGAGTGCCACCACCCATGGGCTGACACTCACACCAAGTCCTGTATGTGTACCTCCAGCACTGACACATTTATGGAGAAACTATAACTCCATTATTGGTTTCCACCCCAGTTTGTGAGCTCTGAGACCACAATAGGCTTCTTGGTCAGTAGGAGACAGATGCACTATGTTGGTTCACTGGAGAACTTAGTAGTTACTTCTGATCAGGAAAAAGAGCCCCCCTCCTGTGGACACAGAAAATAGCAACTCAAGATAATAGATCTCGGTTTCTAAGTGATTATTATTGAATAAGAAGGTCCACATGGCCCTCGTGTGGAGAGGTCAGCAAGGGAAACATCAAATTCCTTCTTACAGGCTCTAGTAAGTATACCTTACATATGATGTTGCTTTTATTTTGTGAGTTTGTAGTTATTTTTAGAATTTAGCCAGCATATTTGTGTGTGTGTGTGTGTGTGTGTGTGTGTGTGTGTTCATGTGCAGTTGTGTGTCACGGATACATGGGAAAACAGAGGTCAATCACGAGTATCTTCTTTAGTCATTCCTTGCCTTACCTTTTGACGCAGGATCTCACTGAAGTCCGAGCTAACCAATCTGATTCAGCTAGTCTAACCAAACTGGCCTCGGATCTCCCTCCTCCTCTATCTCCTCAGTGCTAGAACGGACATGGTTTCCCCTTAGTAGATGCTGGTGATTGAACACAGGAAGGTCCTTCTGTTAGAACAGCAAGAGCTTTATGTACTGAGCCATTATTATTTTTTCTTTTTCTTAATTATGATCCCTCTAAGCAGTATTTTCATTTTCCACATAAACAGAATATATTTCTGAAACACAGTTCTCTCAAAACCAGGATGAAGACTTAGCTGAAAGGTATATTTGAACAGAAAATTTATGAAAGGGACATATTCAAATTGAAAGCATCTGATACACTGATGTGACAGATGACTCATGCCTATAATCCTAGGAGTTGGGAGTCAAAGGTAGGAGGATCAGAAGTTCAAGGTTATCTTTGTCTACTTAGCAAGTTCAAGTGTAGCCTGAGCTATATGAGACCCTGAGTCAACAAAACAAAAGAAAATCAGAGATTGGTTGATTTCATTATAATTTGTCGGTTACACACAACTGCATTCAAACTGCCTTCAAAATTTCACAGCTTTAAATAAACCATTTACCTCATGTTTTGGGGGGGGTTGGTGATTTTCCCTGGCTCAGCTGTTCTTTCTAATGGGTTTCTGATTTAGCTCCTTCTCAGCTGCATGTAATGCCTGTATCTGCCACCAGGTGGCAGGTCTCTTGGGAGCTAATCCTCTGGATGGTGTCCCTTGTGTGCCTGGGGGTGGGGGGGGGAGGATGATGAGTAAGAAGGTCAGGCTTCTCTGTCATCAGACTAGCCCAGGATCATCTACTTGCCTGAACACAGCCCCCAGAGACAGGAAGCTGGCCTATCCTCTTGAGACAAATATTCTGAGATGGCAGGACCACATTTGCTGCTTTGTATTAGCCCAGGAAGAGTCACAGGAGCAGAACTGACTAAAGACACAAATGGACTGGGTGCAGTTCCACACTGGAGTGAGTGCTAGGCATGCTTAAGTCCAGTCGCTAGCTCAGGAAGTAGAGTGTGCAGGGTATGCCAGGCGGGAAAGTAGGGAGGAAGAGGAGCAGACCTGATCTGAATGGGAGGGGCTCCAGAGTCTTTCTGTAAAGAGGTGCTCTCCTTTAAAAACGCCAGGCACATGTTTCGGTGCTCACTTGTAATCTCTGCACTGGAGATTTGTGGATTCCTGATGCTTGCTGCACAGCTGGCCTCACCCAATCACTGAACACCAGAGCACTAAGAATGAGAGACTGTCTCAAAATAAGGTAGACAGCACCTGAATGACAACAGCTGAGGCTGTCCTCCAGACTCCATACCCCCATATGCTCCTATGCTGGATAATACATACCCACAATAAGAAGAACGCTTACAAAGAGACATGGATGCTTGCAACCATTTTTACGACTTCTTCCAAGTCTATCTTTTTCTTTCTCTCACTTGGAACAACTTCACTTTGTATCCTGTTCCTATAGTTCAACCCTTCCCTAACTTTCATATGTGTCCTTCCAATAACCATGAGTCAACAAAGCTATGCGGTAACTGTCCACAGTCGCTTTAGAAAACACCCAGGGAGCTTCCTCTTTAACATTATGGACTTTCCAAAATATTTACCCAGGGCTGACATCGTGGCTTAGAGGGTAAAGGGACTTGATGTACAGGCTTGACAAACCCAGTTCAATCCCTAGAACTCACAAAAGGAGAGAATTAGTTCCCCAAACTTGTCCTCTGACCTCCGCACACATACTGAAGCTGTTTTCCCTCATACACATGCCAGATACACACATATTAAATAATTTGAACAGATTTATTTGAAAACATATAGATTAAACAATCTGTTTACGTAGTTTATGTACATGAGCACACTGTTGCTTTCTTCAGACACACCAGAGGAGGTCATCAGATCCCATTGCAGATGGTTGTGAGCCACCATGTGGTTGTTGGAAGTTGAACTCAGGTCCCCTGGAAGAGCAGTCAGTGCTCTTAACCATTGAGCCAACTTTCCAGCCCCTAAAATGTAGATCTTTTCAGAAAAAAAAAGATCAGTGGCAGATTTGATGGAACTGTAAAATATATTTTCACATTCTGAGTAAGTCTATTAGTCTGTAGTTCTTCCCCCCCCCCAATAAGGTGATGAAAAAATACAGAACACCACCAGACAGCTCCAATGTAAGAATACATCCCTGGTTGTTATTTAATCTTTATTTCTGCTGCTGTGCTGTATATTTTCTTCGTCCTCCAGCAAAATAATTTTTCCTACTGTGGTCAGTGTTGGGGAAATAGTTTTGCCTTGTTTGTTTTCTGAGACAGAGTTGGAGGATGTAGAAATTGGCCTCAAATTCATCTTTCTGCTTCTGTCCTCCAAGTACTGGAATTGTGGGCAGGGACCTCCATACACACACACACACACACACACACACATACACACACTTGTATTTCTCTATTGTATGTGTGTGGGAGTGCACAAGGCACAGCCTTTGTATGAAGATCAAAGGATAATGGGGGAGTCTGTCCCTCCTTCTCCCATGTGGCTCTTGGAGATTGATCCAGGCCCTCACGTTTGGCAGTAAGTCCTTTCCATGCTGAACCATCTTCTCAGTTCCCAGCTTAAAACAAGACGTTTTCTCCACCCAGAAACCTTTACAAAGATAAATCAGAAAGAAAAGAGCTTTAATAAGCCTTAAGTCAGAATATAACACACATCACAGGTAACACACTGGGAGCGTGCAAAGACACACTCACCCTCTTGTGATGCTATGTGAGCACATCCTATTACACAGATGTTCGAAAGAGACCACAGTAATTAGTCCTTAATTAATTCTCCCAGTAGGAGAATTTGTCAGCACCATTTGTTTATCCTAAATCCACCTGATAACTGGGTCACCACCTGCATCAGTTCATTGGTTTTTTTACAATGGGAAAACAGGCTTTCTGCATGAAAGAGGTAGTTTTGCATTTGGGAGCCAAGCTTTCCTCAAAGCCAGGCTCCTCATCACCACAGAAACTGGGAGACGGGGACCTATCACAGTTCATCAGATTACAGATCTCTCTGTACATATGTAATGAAACATGTTATAATGTAATGATATATTTATATTAAAAAGACATTTAATAGAAAATAAAAATTCATATATAAGTATTTAATCAATTTATACATGCTGTATAATAAGATCTCAGAAATAATAAGATTTCGAAAGTCAATCTGAATGACCTCATCAGAGAACTACCTAGGGAACTAAATTTGAGTAGACAGAGTATTTAAAGAAATACACACACATTTTGAAACAGAAATAATGTAAATTGGTTTCCTGAAGGAAAACACTTAAAGTCATGGAGGGAAATCTTTCCCTTGTCCTTCGGAGGGAGAGCTGAGCTCCATTCCTGATCTGTGTTCACGCTTCCCTTGAGCAGAGCCCCTCTGGGTCAGCCACGGTCAGTAGTAACCATGGGAGTTAGCTCGCTTATATTCTCACTGGTTTAGGATTTAATAATCCAGTCCCTCATCCGGCAGGTCGTAATGAAATCTCATGCACCAGAGAGAAGTCTGGACTGTGTGGATTCAGCAGTGAGTCAGAGACAGACTCCGTTCATTAAGGAAATTGTATTGCTTAAAAGGAAACATAACAAACAGATAAATAAA